CCTCCTTTGTTTAAAAATACTTATTTCTGCTAAGAAGAGGATGGTAAGTGAAAATTGTGTGATGCGTGCACCGCACTAGACTTTTGTTTTGATAAACAGCTCAAATATAACATTGATTCTCTGTCTCTTGCTGAGTTTTTCCTCGTTTACAATAATTAAATTTATACTTCATTCATGAAGTCTTTTGTTCAGAGTAAGTGTAAAATCAATGATATAAAATATATGATACATCTGATTTGGGTTTAAGCTAAAATTTTGATATAATATCTGAGGCATATACTTAACTTGAACACATAATTTTAAGACTTTTCATTTTTGAGGTAGGGATGTCCACATAAACACAAACACAACATTTTGCGAGACTTCGTTATTCGGCTTTATTGAACTGTATAAAGTTTATAAGTAAATTAAAATAAAAAATGCTTAACGTAATATATGAAATTATAAATTTTAAAGGCATAAAGAATTTTAGGTATATTTTTTATTTATTTAGTTCCTCTTAAGAGACTAAAAGTTAAACTCAGTTTAAGAAGCGAGAAGAGAGAGCCGTGAAAGAGGCGAAGTCAAAGACCCCAACCACCCCAGCGATATCAAGGATTCCCTTTCCAACAAATTACAACATCCTACGTTCAAACTTTTCTTAATCAGCCGTTTGATCCACCCGTTACCTCAACAAGTTAGAGGATTTTCCATCTGAAAAATACAGTTATCTTACAGCAATGAGTACAATCTCAACCAAAAATTTTCTCTAGTTTACAAAGAGGTGTTTTGAGAATTAAACATTTTGTAAACTTATTTTATTCCACATCTTTCAATCAAAATAACCATGATTTTGGAGGTTCCGAATATGAACGAATACTAACAAATATATTTCTATATTTAATATTAATTAATAATAGAAATATATTTAGTTTGACAAGAAGACGGTTAGGATTATGGTTCAAGTTTAATATTTAATAAATATAAACGTTTCGATTAACATCTTTGACATTGTCCGTAACTATAAAGTACAAGGTGAAAATTATGTAAATATGTACAATGCGAATGTTTACATAAAAGACGAGATAAAGTGAAAATTTAATAATGATATCAGATAAATTAAGGATAATAAATTATTGGAGAGAGGATTGGTTGGGATGTTTAGTAAAAAAAAAAAAAAAATTATATTTATCGCAATACAATAAAATAAATACAATTTATTTATTTTTGCTCTTTTTTTACTGAACACCTCAATCAATCTTCTCTTTAATTATTCAATACAGTCAAACATCAATCCACGATAGTAAATTATAATAATAAATATATTAAATATAGATAATAAATTAAAATAAATATAAATGATAAATTAAGTTTTTGATATTGTAATATTCCTGGTTCTTATTTTTTATTTAGTACTTACTCCCACCAACCCTCAAACATGTCTGCTATTTTCCCCACGTTTTTTTCCAGTTTCAACCGAAACTGCAACCTGAATACACAGTTTTTTTTATCCTTATCATTTTCATTTTCTTCACACTCTTAATGTCCATTATTTTTGCTTTTTCTTTCAATCTTTCCTTGATAATTATAGGATTATATTCATAATTACGTGTAATATCCATCCTCCTTATTACATTCAATTTTCCTTATCAACAATAAGTGCTACCATTTATTTACTACAGTTTAAGGTCTGATAACTTAGTTATATTCTGTTTATATAGTTTATTGTTCTTAATATTCCTGTGTATTTTCTATTCACACTGTTTATAATTTTTATATAAATATTATGTAACTTCAACATTTTTCTATATCCTTTGATATCTTGTTCGTTCTAACTCTGAAGAAGATCTACAAAGTTGGGTCGAAACACCTCCAAGGTTGGCTTGAAATAAATAGTTTTTTCAATACTTTAGTCTTTTTATAACCGCCACACCCCGGACCATCTCCATTCTCAAAAATAAATTAATGTTTTCCTATTTCTTTTCATGACCTATGCTTGTTAACAATATATATATTGAACCCAAATTATTTCAGTTGCTTATCAGCTATACCCTACATTGGTACTTTATTACTTATTAGTGATATGATATCACAAATGAGGGGGTTAAAACCAATTTTAAACGAAATTCAATATGTCAACATTACTCTCTTTCTTAAATAGATATTATCTTGCAATATAATTTTTTTTTAATAACACTCCTATTTACCATACAGGACAGGTCCAATAATTTCATTCAGTGAACAAATTAACTACACACATGCAACACTAAAACACTAAACTGCTCCTCCTTTTTTGACTACTTAGACATTCACTGGATAAACGCTCTGAATTTGCAATCTATATTGTGAAAAATCTACATATACCGAGTTAAAGTTTCCCTCCGAGTGAAAGTTAAACTCCCTTTAATTTTTTTTTTATATTTTTTTATTTAGAAATATTACATTCTGTCACATCAAGGACATTTATAATAGTGTTCAGAGAAAGCACACTCACACTCTATTTACAATAAAAAAAAAATAATACAGAAACTTAATAATAATAAATACAATAAAATAAAATAAAAATAAATACAATAAATGTATATAAACAAAAGAACTAACCTAATCATACACACTCGGGCTTGAGTGGAGGATCTGGCCATTGCCAAAACTCCAATAGATGCTTATTTATAAAAGGTCTCTGGGCCACTGCCGCTTCAACCTTCGAGGAGGATTGTAAGGATGAGTGGTGCTGGATAGAGATTGTGCAAGGGGATTTGGATGATAGGTAAGGTTCTGGTGAAATTTGGAGAATTTTTCTGGAATAAGGTCTAGGACAAATGGGATATTAAGGTCATGGTGTAGGATTTTGTTATTTGCATAGAACGGAGCATCAACTATTGTTCGAAGGACTTTAGATTGAAAGGATTGAATACGTTTGATGTTAGAAGCTTTTGCTGTCCCCCACAGTTCAAGTCCGTATGTCCATATAGGTTTCAGTATTGTCTTGTAGATAAGTAATTTGTTTTCAATAGAAATTTTAATTAAGTTTAAAATATTTCTTCCGTAATTCAAACTCGTTAGATCTGAAATATTTTGAGTACGCGTTAGTGACGATTACACTTTTAATCGATACACTTCTCCGTGATAAGAGTTAATGAAATAATTAAATCACTTTTATACAGTTAACCGAACCGAAATGAGGGTGATTACGACCTTACTGTCTGAGTTTATCTAGATAAGTTTTTTTTTTTCTTTTTTAGTTAAATATTGGGTATGGTTTAACTTAAAATAGATTTTATATAAAATTTATTCTAATTAACGTTATGCAGCTAATCGAACTGCATTTATAGCTGTGTCGATAAAAGTGCTGTGATAACATTAATGTGATATGTTGAGTCCTATTGAAAGTTATTTTAATCCTGTTTTTTCAGGTGTCATATGACTAATACACCATATTATTAACGTAAAAATAAAGCTTTGAGTTCAATATACTGGTTAGCTTGATCCACTTACAGTGAAACTTCTCCATAAGGACCCTTTCTTTAAGGGACACCTATATATATAATTCAATTTTAAATGTAGTGGAACAACCATACCAGACTGAAACGACTAGAAACCGCACGACGTTTCCGACTACTCCAACACTTATAGACAAACGCTCTAAGCTTCCAACTATTTACAAAAGATTCGTATATATTACTATAATAAGGCTTATTTGGACTTACGGGATCGAGCTTTCGGGATCGGACTCTACTAAACCATCGAATTCCTCTCGTATCCAATCCTTACAATCCAAAATCCTTAGTAAAATCCTCAATGCTCCCTACTTTGTCACAAATAAAATCATTTATTAGCTCAATCCAGATACCTATCCTTCCATAATAAACTTCTGAACCATCCGTTTCCAACCTTACTTCCTCTTCTGTTCCTGATAACCCTCCGAGGCGTCTGTAAAGAAGATGGCCTTGGGACCTTCTAACATAGAAATATAATTGGAGTGCTACCAGTGGGTAGTTTCTCTTCATGTTGTACATGTCATGTTACTTATTTCATATTAACTAGTTGTATATATCATTTAATATAGTTGTAAATTTCAATAATAAATAAATAAAAAATGTAGTGGAAGCAGAGTATATAAAAATAACATTCCGTGGTACAGACCCCTTTTTATCAAATTATTAAAATCCGCCAGAAACTTCGTTAATTGATCCATCCCATCTTAGTTTTCCACTCGAATCGTAAGATAAATTTATCCCAAAATCGAGAAAAAAGTTGGCCTTCAAAAACATTGCGCCGTTTTAAGTGACCTAAACCCCAAAATGTCAAAATAACGAAGTTATTACTGATCAAGCGGCCCAACATTTATGTAGGCCATCCTTTTTATAGATTTGATAATAAAATTATCTTAATATCCAAGTGGAAAGCAAATGGGAATTTACGATTTTTAGTACCCAATTAAATATACAAAGTTTGCTGACCTCCAGATTTCAAGGGTATTCGTAAATAACATTTTTTCAGGTTAAGATAAGATGAAGCTATTCACGAATTTTCAATGCTAATGTGGACTATAATGCTTTTGACAACTATTTTTAAGGAATGGGTATTCCAGACAGGAGACGCGGAAAAAGAAAAATTAACCGAAAATGGATTTTAAAACCTCTCGAGAAAGAGCAGGGTATGATTTGTTACTTTGTTTTTCCACAGTAATGTATCAGTCTAACACGTTTTAAACTCATGCGTAAAAATAGCGTTGTGAGGGACTACCAAAAATGACTTCTCCATAAAATATTTAATCCTTTATCTCAATTCAGAGAACCTTTAAAGGTTTACAAACCTTAAAATAAAACACGAGAAACCGCTTAGAAACCAGAACTACTGTCTTATACCTCCCACTACTACAGTATTGTTCTGCCTATGAAACTATCATATATACCAAATTCCATTTTAACGTGTCAGTGATCTATTGTTTATCGGTAGCTGAGCATTTTGTGGAGGGGCGAAAATCGAGGATAACTCGAATTTTATTTCGCTTCATATCATTAGAACCATCCTCTATTAAAACTGGTATTAGAGGCTTGCTCAAACACGATTGGCGTTGCTGAAACAAAAGCAACGAAGCGCAATAAATAATTAGCGATTTGGAGTGTGAGGAGGTGGGAGGGGAGAAGGGGGGAAGGGTTGTGTAGTGTGTGTCCGAGCGGGAATTCGGGCGGCAGCAGCGCCATCTATTATGCTGATAGAGAATTATGCCGAGGGTTATTGAAATGAGAACGGGAGGGTTGAGTTTTATAGAGCGCGCTATCGACGTCGATAAAATAGCTGGGTCCGATTCCAGCTCGTGTTTATGGCTCATTAATCAAATCCCGTCCGTTTGTATTTATTCTTTTCCCGATTTTTTTTCTTTTTTTTTTTCAATTAGCCGCAGAAAGGAAATTATTCACTATTTATATCTGCCATTGCTAACGGTCTGCCACAGTTTATTGTCCCTCGTTCGTGACCGATCCAATCCCAGATAATGAAATTGATCAACATTTCAAATCACTTTTAATGAGGCGATAATGTTAATTTAATATCCTCACCAAATAGTATTTTGGAAACAAGCGTTTTTATCTGTGTAGAAATATTTCAAACAAAAAAATGTTTTTTTAATTTTTGTTAATAGCTATGGGTTATTTGGAATTAAGGAAGAAAAAAAAATCGTAAATTTGAGATAGAACAGAATTCAAGTGAAAAGAGAATACTGAATATTTAGGCAGCACTTTTATAATAATCCATAATAGCTTTAGCTAAAAACATGAAGTACTTTTCTAAGTTGAGGTAAGAACTATCGGTGCGGCCTATATTCACAATTTACCTAACTATCTACAAAGGTTTTTATGTAGATAGTACATTCAATATAGGTAGGATTATTTATTTCTATGTCCTTTTTTTGTTTTAAATTAAATTATCAACTTTACCCCATGTCGTAACCGTATGATTTCCTATCCTACAATATCCTTTAATAATTTGAAGGATTAGTTGAACAAATCCGCTACCTAGGACTCCACCTGGACAAACGCCTAGCTTGGAATCCTCATACCAGATTGAAACGACAAGAAACCGCTCGACCAAGAAGTCGCTATACACACGTTTCTCATGCTTCCGATTTAGTCCAATCCAGATAGTTATCCTTCCATAAAAAACTTTAGAAGTATCCAAACCCTCTCGTTTCCAACCTTGCTTCCACTTCGATTCCTGATAACCCTCCTAGGCGTCTGAAAAGAAGATAGTCCCGTGATCTCCTAATGTAGATATACTATACTATACTTCACCGTATAGATATAGTGATACATGGGGATAATTTCTCAAAAAGTCTTTTCATGTCATACTGTCTCTATGTACGCATTTTCTAGACGTATTTCAACTATAATACGGTTACAAATATCATGATTAATTTTTTTGAAAAATATTTTTTATTTTACGATTTTAGATTCTCACGTATTGGCGATTTCAACACACGAACATACTCATGATATGATATAAAGCTCATAAAAAAAATTTAAAATACTTAAAATATAATACAATATTTTGCGCTCATATTGTTTCAAAACACTCATGGCACTTCACCGAATAATTTGAGCCATCAAATTTAAGATTCGGTCCAGATGTTTGTTTAAAAAATCTTTACAAACCTTTTAGAAAATTGATTTAAACACATTTTATTCAATAACATATAAGTAGTTTCAGCTCGAATTGTTTCAAAACAATCACGGGATCTTAAAAAATAATATGAGCATCAAATTAATATACCCGTCCAGCCTTTCACTTGGAAATTCGTTACACACATTTTAGTGAATCGATTTAAACACAATTTATTCACTAAAGCGTCATTGTTTTTTGCTCAATAGGTGTCATATTACTGACTGAGCTATACGTTGGGATCATTATTAATTCTATGTTAAATTTTCTAGCGAGCTGAATATGTAAATTAATAAGAACGAAGGCTATCATTGGTTAACTGAACTGGCGCCTAGGAGAGAGATAACTAGGATGATAAAAAGGATCTAAATGAGAGAGAGAGAGAGATTCGTTACTTTACTCCTTGTCAATTAGGCTACCTTTCCTTATCTCATTAGCTCGGCGACCATCTCTTTTTCAAAACTGAGGGGTCTCGATGTTTCAAAGCCTTGGCTAAGTCCTCAAGGAAAACAGTTTCTTTATCCTTCCCTTGTTGGCTTTGAAGTATCCTGTTCTCTCCAGGCTCCCTTCTTCAGATGTTTTAAATCTAGAAAAAATTCTCTGTTTTTTTTTTTTCTCCTGGGTTTTAACAAATTATTTTTAAAAATATTAGGTAGTTTCTCAATATAAAAACTTTCTCTGAGGAATAGAATTTTGTTTTAACATTTCTCAAGCAACCAAAAACCAGAACACCTAAAAGTTTCACTTCCACAAGTCCTAATATACAAAGATTTATATTACGTAGCCTACTTAATGTGAACTTCAGTCACTTTGAATCAAACAAATTTAATCTTTTCACTTAATAGAAAGAAAATATCGCTTTTATGTATATTTAGGTATACATTTTTTTTTTATTATTATTATTACACTTTTTACTTACTCACTATCGAAGGTAGACAAGCATTGTATTTGTATAAGAGGTAAAAAAAATTATGCTTAGAATCGAAAATTTCCACTCGCATTTTACGTTTCAGACATCAAGGATCAACTTTGGTACGGCGACTGTCTATCTGTAGTCAAAACGATGTATCGGGCATATCACCTACTACCGTTTACCCGTTTACCCAAAATTCATGAAATTGTCAGGGATTGTGCAGATTAGTGTCTAGATGGTTCCATATAAATTTCATCAAATTCCAACCAGGACTTCCGTTTACGAACGCGCAAACGTATTTTTTTAGATATGCCAATATTTCAGAAATGGTTATTCGATTTGGCTCAAAGTTAAGAAAAAAGTTAGGTATTAATAACAAAATAAAGTAGTATCAATTCCATTGGAATCTGTCCTTACTTTTTCTTATATAAGCGCAAAGCTGTTTTCCTTGATACGTCTATATCTCTAAAACCGCACGACTGATTTGTCTAAAAAAAAAAAAATAGTTTTATGGTCACCTATAAAACAGTCAATTTTTACATACGACCCTTTACACTAACAGTAGTCATATGCATGTTCAGTATGCACTGGATTTTTTAAAATCAAGAATCACCAAATATGCAATCTGCAAATACGGAACTCTTTCGCATTTTAGTATTCGCTGATGATCAAAATCTGATGATTGATTTTGATAATGATGATTTTTTTTTTTGATACTTTAATATAAAGAAAAATACAAAATTTCAGATTTTTTGGACTTACGGTTTTTTATTTATAATTTTTTTAAATAATGAACAAACTAAAAAAACCTTTTTAAAATCCTTGTTGGGCTACTTCTCAAGAACTATTTGACATAGAAAGCTGAAACCGATGTTATCTTTTTTGGTTGTTTGTGTTCTTTCTTTTGATTTATAATCAAATAGTTCTTGAGAAATAGCCTAACAACGATTTAAAAAAACGCTCCATTTTTCGAGGTTTTTTATTATTTTACAAATGTATAATTCATTGAATCTAAAATTTTGTATTTTTTTTTATATTAATGAATTCAACAAATAACCAAAACTTTATAAAAATCCAAGACATATAGGTTCAAAATTGATTTTAAACTCGTTGATTTGATCTTGGTCTTGCACACTCAGTTTATTCTTTGGTATTGCGCAAGAGTCACGCAACAGTATAGCAGTGACCTATTGGCTTATTACTATAGAGATATTACTGTAATTGTTTAGATAAGGGAAACCTGATAGATTTAAATAAACTTGGAAGATTTTAATTCAAAAGTATATTGGGTATAAAAATTGTTCACATGTAGTAAATAAAATTGTCAAGTATTAGTAACTATTTTGCTTTAATTTTTATTCACAAAAACTATTCTTTTTATCAATCTTGGTCTTGATCTTGCAACAATCAGGCAGCCCTAGTTTTGGTCTTGCACAGTGCAAGAAGGGAATGAATAATAACTAATTTTAACCAAATGTTTTATCTCTCACTGATCGACACAGCTGCCCCTGACTCAATAAACATAATGCTGTCCTTAAAAGTAATTAGCCTTAAATTTAAAGGCTTTTAAGGCAGGCCTATTAGAAAGAAAGCCTCCCCATTTCGTCATAATATATGCATAAGATAAGCGAGGACTCGAAGAACGCTAACAGTAAAAAAAAAAAATACATAACATCCTTGCAGCTTATCGCGGATTCCACATAGTGGGGTATAATTCTTGAAACTAAAAGCTTACCTAAACATTAGCTTTTACGGTTAATATCTGCTCGTAGTAAAGTCTCCAAGTGGGCACATCTTTCTTTGAGAATGGCTGTCTTTGTCAAAGCAATCATAGTTTAGTTCTCAACTATCTTCAAGAATTTTTTTTTAAAAACATTGGTTGAAAGAGAAAAAAAAATGACAATACAACTACAGCTTGAATTTATAATCTTACAATTATAAATAAATTTAAAAAGAAGAAAATTACAAAGATATAATTATTATTTTGTTAAAGTGCAATAAAATAATATATCGAATTAATAACATAAAGGTGATAATACAGAAAATTATATATAATAAAATTTATAAATGATATAATAATTTAAAAAAGTGATTAATAATGATTTTAAAATAAACTATACAAAAGTTACTTTTTAATTATTAAAATTCATAATTGGTAAATGGTTGACTGTCGTGGATAATGAAGAGAAGAATAGTTGGGGTGGCCAGTCAAAAAAGAAGGCAAAAAATAAATGATAATATTTATTTTTACATATGCCGACGTTTCGACCTGAAGTTCAGGCCATCATCAGGGCTAAGAAAAGAACCAGATAACAAGGTATGAGAAATATAAAAATTACAGTAAAATGGAGTTGTTAGAATAATGACAATAGTAAGAACAATAGACAAATAATATGTGTGGAATGATGAAGTAAACATAGTCAAAAAAGGTGACATAAGTATTGTAAAGGGAATCTTAGAATAAAATTTAAAACAGAAAAATATCTTAATTATTAAAATTATTGTATGTAGGTGTGTATGTGTTCTTTTTATTTATTTATAGGTTATTTTATTATTATTTATTGTATATATATTATTTTTTTGTATAATTTATTTTATTTATTGTACATAGAGTGTGAATGTGATCTGTGAACACTGTTATAAATATCCTAGAGACAAATTGTAATATTTAAAAAAAAAATTATTAAAATGATGATTTTCAACGATTTTTTATAGCAATCAAAAATTTTCTATTCGAAATTTTTTTGCTTTGGCTTGGACCC